GTGAGGATCTTTACCAAACCTTTCCCAGGAAGTGGGGTGCAAGGGTTGGGAGGATTTTGCGGGGAAGGACGTGTCCAAACTACGTTTCCCAGTAAACCCAGTTAGAGTTTGGTGGTGGCAGTGGTTATTCCAAGGACAAAGGATAAAATTAATTTGTACCTTGGGGAAGTTTTAACCTAATCTGGTAAAAGTAAGCTTAGGAGGTTTTCATGCAGGTCCCCACATCTGTACCCTAGAGTTCAGAGTAGGGGAGGAACCTTGACAACACTGCTGTAGGGAAAACTGTTGGAGTTTGTAGAGTATCATGCAATAAGAGGTCCCACAAACTAGTCAGAGAATCAAATGTTAATTGTAAGACATTTTACCTTGTTCTAGGCTTTGCCATTAATAAAAAAAGATAAATAAACCTTCATACCTGTTTGGTCATGCCAGTTACACAATGCCTGCATACACACAAGTGCTCTTTATAATTAGAACTTCAGCTAAAAAAACTTAACCAAGACCATGCAGAACAAAATTTCCTAATCATTTGCTGTAGGTTTAAATGGTCCTTCTAAACCTGCTTTGAGCTCTAATCTAGTTTATCAGTTATCAAAGCCTCCCTGAGCTCAAAGCCAGGAACAGGCTAGTCCAGACCTTGCTGGTCCTTTATCTTATAGTTCACAATATCTCTATATTGCAGTTGCTCATAAAAAGACGGTTTTACGGTTTCCCCATATCCTTGGCCCAGATGGAATGCAGGCCACAAGTGAAACTAGCCTCCTAATCTTTCCTCACCTCCAATTTAGCTTGAAAAAATAATCTGAAGCAATCAAAGAAACCACAACACAGTAATAACTCCCAGCACCTGCAGCCACTTCATCTCCTTTTGATGCTAGAAAGGAATCCCTAATGCTCAGCCACTGTCTCAAGGTAAATCAGGCTGATCCACAAGCCGCATGGCTCAACTATATCTCCTCAGTAAATCCAACTGGGGATCGTTGATAGCGCTCATTATGTCTAAGTGTCATGCCATTATAACATACACTATACATGAGTGACTGGCTACATTGGCATGTCAACTTCACCACATACGTAAAGGCTCACGTAGCACATATTGTACATCTTGCCAAATATAATGGTTTTACAGAACATAAAGCGTAGAATGCAGTGTGAATTTTATTAAGATTGTAAAACACTTTCCATAATTTATAAGGAAGATTCAATGCCCCCCCCCCATCAAATTCTGCAAAGGAGATGCATTCTGTCTGAAATGTTATGCATGTGGTCTCTTGCCAGAGAAAAACCTTTTATTCTTGCAAAGTTTTAAGTGGCTCAGAGCAACAGTTTATGCCCGATAACTTTGTTTTAGAAGAACTGATATCACTTTTGGAAATGTAACTATTTTTTGCCATTGCAGATTTCAAAATTAGCTTTGATCTGGGAATTCTATATGTATTAACATTCACTCATACCCAGCAAGAACTAGTGCATATTGAACTATGCTGGTGGATAACACATAAGTCACTTGTTACAAAAAACAGGAGTTTTGGGTGCTTTGTAAAATCTCATATGATTGTAGCTTACATTAGGATTCTTTTTTCAGAGTAGCAGCCGTGTTAGTCTGTATCCGCAAAAAGAAAAGGACTACTTGTGGCACCTTAGAGACTCAAATAAATGCTCTAATAAATTTGTTAGTCTCTAAGGTGCCACAAGTACTCTTTTTATTAGGATTCTTGCATACATAACAAGTCACACAGGCTTAGAATCATAGAATCATAGAATATCAGGGTTGGAAGGGACCCCTGAAGGTCATCTAGTCCAACCCCCTGCTCGAAGCAGGACCAATTCCCAGTTAAATCATCCCAGCCAGGGCTTTGTCAAGCCTGACCTTAAAAACCTCCAAGGAAGGAGATTCTACCACCTCCCTAGGTAACGCATTCCAGTGTTTCACCACCCTCTTAGTGAAAAAGCTTTTCCTAATATCCAATCTAAACCTCCCCCACTGCAGCTTGAGACCATTACTCCTCGTTCTGTCATCTGCTACCATTGAGAACAGTCTAGAGCCATCCTCTTTGGAACCCCCTTTCAGGTAGTTGAAAGCAGCTATCAAATCCCCCCTCATTCTTCTCTTCTGCAGGCTAAACAATCCCAGCTCCCTCAGCCTCTCCTCATAAGTCATGTGTTCTAGACCCCTAATCATTTTTGTTGCCCTTCGCTGGACTCTCTCCAATTTATCCACATCCTTCTTGTAGTGTGGGGCCCAAAACTGGACACAGTACTCCAGATGAGGCCTCACCAATGTCGAATAGAGGGGAACGATCACGTCCCTCGATCTGCTGGCTATGCCCCTACTTATACATCCCAAAATGCCATTGGCCTTCTTGGCAACAAGGGCACACTGCTGACTCATATCCAGCTTCTCTTCCACTGTCACCCCTAGGTCCTTTTCCGCAGAACTGCTGCCTAGCCATTCGGTCCCTAGTCTGTAGCGGTGCATTGGATTCTTCCATCCTAAGTGCAGGACCCTGCTTGCATTGCCTTATTTATTTTTAAATTTCATTATCTTCTTCTCTTGCTTTTCCACCTGCTAACGAGTTTCCCCATTGCCCAGAAACATATTTAGTGCATTTATGCACACACAAGACACGCAGTCTCTGTATTCATATTAGGATGCCTCCCCTCAATAGCCAATGCAATAACCCAACTTTTTTGCCTGAAGGAATATTTTCATGACCTGGTAACATAATGGTTAATTACTGAATCAGAATATGGCTGGAAATAACAGGAATTGAATGTCCTTTATCTTAGTGCATCAGCATCCACATCTATTGCCTTACCTTTGAAAAATGTGCCTTTGAGAATATTGAAAATAAAATTCTGAAGCACCTAACTTAGTGGACCATGTTGAACAAAATCAATAGTAGAAAGTATTTGCAGCAGCAAACATACTTCAGTGACTGCAATGACATAACAGCAGCTGTAGTTGCAGAATTATGTGCTCAAATGTCAAAAGGAACACAGACTGTGCATTATTAGAATTACAACTTACTTTGACAATCTGATCCTATCAGGTTCGAATGCAATTTTATCATCTCAGGTTAACTTAAGATCTTATGGTATTAAGTTTTTCAGATGAGATGTAATTTAAGTAGCACCTGAAGATGCTGCAGTTATTGTGACAATTATCTAATGCATTTGAGAGAAACAGACGTGTTGCTCTAAATTATTTATAACAATATATGAAAAATGGTTTTGAAGTAAAAATGATTTATTTACTGACTCCTAACCTGCCACATAATATGGAATAATCCTTAAACAACCAAAAATAATAATAGACTGGGATTTAGTTCACAAATCAGAGATGGAAGAACAGGAGTGTTTTGAATACCTGGCAGGAATAAATACTGAATAAAAACAAGAGAGAGAAAAGCTATTTCGATTAAATATAATGTCTGGCTGATTGGCAAGTGCTTTCAGGATGTTATTCTTTAGCCAAATTAATATTCAATATAAATTGGAGTATTTCAAACTCCGTTCAAGACTTTTTGAATCAATGTTTGACATTTATCATTGCTTATATTTTAAATGTTTTTTAATCTCCTTAGAATCATAGAATCATAGAATATAAGGGTTGGAAGGGACCCCAGAAGGTCATCTAGTCCAACCCCCTGCTCAAAGCAGGACCAATTCCCAGTTAAATCATCCCAGCCAGGGCTTTGTCAAGCCTGACCTTAAAAACCTCTAAGGAAGGAGATTCTACCACCTCCCTAGGTAACGCATTCCAGTGTTTCACCACCCTCTTAGTGAAAAAGTTTTTCCTAATATCCAATCTAAACCTCCCCCACTGCAGCTTGACTCTCTCCAATTTAGTTTCATATGTATCTGAACAGAGAATCGGTGAGGCAAACTGTTAAGACTACTTCCTTATTTGTGTTCAAATTAGCTTCAGAGCACTTATAATGGAATGGTATAATCTGTTGCAGTGGTCAGTATTAAAAAGTTGGAAATGACTGTGGTATCTAATGCCCCAGTCTTGCAGCTGACTGTGTCCAGTTGACCCCATTATCTGTGGGCTCATCAACTATGTGAGTACAGGGATTCCTTCCACATGGAGTCTGCTGCAGGATCAGGGACACAGATTCCACTGTGCAATAATGTGCCAAATATCGGCTTTTTAATTATACAAGGACAACTTGTATAAAGAAGCATTTCTCACATAAAGGATCCAGCCCATAATATTGAGATTGTTTCATCTTTGGTTATCGTAAATGAAGGCTGATCAATAAAAATACTTTGGAAAAAAAAAACAATTTCTGGAAACTGGGAAGTTGAAAGAAGATAAAGCTAGGACAGATGAAAGATCAATTCTGGATAGCATAATATCAAATTACAGGACTCCTCACATGGAAAGATTAAACGATGATCGAGTAGAAAGCCACACAATTTGTTTACTTTAAAAGATAATACGAAGTTAAAGCCAAGGGGAAAAAGCTCAAAGGAATACTGTTGCAGGCAAAAACAGAATCATTAGTGTATATCAATATAACACACATAGTTTTAGAAAGAAAAATCAACTCCATCATTTGTTTCCAGACACAGAACATGGTAAGAGTTTGAGAATTTCACAGCCCAGAATCACCAAATAATGCTGCAGTTATCATCCCTTTCAAAGCAGTTTGCTAGATCATTTTTTTCCCCAAGCAGATTTTTCTCACTGAAGCCGTAAAAATTAGGATATTCTTTTGTGAATGGGCAAGTGACAAACTCTTCCATTCTTCCTTACAGATTAAAAGTAACCCTGAGAAACATTAAGATAAATGGCAAGTGGGCAATACTTGTTCAACTTTGTATTAAGTGATTATAATCTTAATATATAGTTGATAACATTAATTGTTTTTGGTTAAATGCTAATTGACATGGTTTGTTCATTTTTCTTTGCAGTAATTTTGCTTTTATACTTCCATTTTCTACTTGTCAGGAATTCTTAAACCAGTAACACAAGGTTTTGGTTTACTTACCTGAAAGACATCCAGTGAGTGACAGAAACAGAATCAGTCTCCATGATGACCACATCATTGGTCACAAAGGTCTTGAGTCCCCGTTTGTGTGATTGTTAGCAGCTTTGACGTTTCTTCATTAAAGCTCCGTCTAAGGAGGTAGAAGACAGTCTCTGTTAAGAGAAGTAAAAACCTCTGGCAAAAATATGATAGGCTATTCAAAAGAAACCCTAGATCCTAGTGCAATCCCAAGAGCTCTTTACGTAAAGTGGGAGGTGACATTTTGAAAGGGAGGTATTTTGAGAGAGTCTCAAGAAAAATGTAGTGTAGCACAGTACCTACCTATGTTAAGAGCTAAATTGTGAATGTCACTGTGTAGCTGCACTGGAGATTAAGGAGCCTCAGTTCTTCACCCCAAAGGCAGAGGTGTGTCACGGCCCTGAATTCCTGTTCCTCCTGGAGCCCAGAGTTATAAGTGCACACTGCATATTTCATCAGCAGGTGTCACGAATACAGCTGAGTATTTTCCCCAGTGTCCTTGAAGCAATCTCTTGGTATTTTCTAGAGGTGGGTGAAATAGTTGCAAAGAACAACTAGTTCACCAAATTCAATCACTTCCACTGCTTACAAATTGTGCCAAAATAGGTTGCAATCCCCACTAATTTTTTAGGTTTCAGAGTAACAGCCGTGTTAGTCTGTATTCTCAAAAAGAAAAGGAGTACTTGTGGCACCTTAGAGACTAACCAATTTATTTGAGCATGGGCTTTCGTGAGCTACAGCTCACTTCATCGGATGCAGTGAGCTGTAGCTCACGAAAGCTCATGCTCAAATAAATTGATGAGTCTCTAAGGTGCTACAAGTACTCCTTTTCTTTTTACTAATTTTTTACTGTTTGAAATCTTGTGGTGGATGTTTAATACAAGCGCGGTTTATAGAAAATAAACTCTTCTTTTTATTTACCTTATTCTCCCAAACTGACACCCACCCCATTTTTTTTGTCTTTTGCACCCATCTGTTCAGACTTGTCTCATACCTAGTTTGGCAGATCTCTGGGGAAGAAACTCTTCCTGCTTAGAGCCCTGATCTCTGATTATGGTTCCTAGATACTACTGTAACAATTACAACAATGTGAACAGATTGCAACCTACAGATTGTTCACTGCATTGCTTCAGGTAGTCAGCATCCACAATTCAAATGTCCAGTTGGTTTGAGTAGGGCCACATTGGTATATTTCTGTTCCATGATTGGATGACCTTTCCCTGGCTATTCTGCCATAATTGCTTATAGCTGGACTATGACAGGCCCTTATGCAAGTGAACTCAATGAACAATGAACTTGAAGTGCCCGGGTCCCCATCAGCACCTGCCACAAGAGCAGTCCCAGAATGCAGCATTCTATACTGTGCTCTGGGCCATTTAGGGAGGGAATGTGAATCACTCCCCTAACTCCCTCAGACTCAATGTGGTTCACTTACAACCCTTAATTCAAACCATTAGCTAAGTGGCACAGTTTAGCACATCAACATTTCCTGTGTGGTGACCTCACTCATTCATTAGAATAATCACAGAAAGTGGATGCTGAAGGGGTGCAACAGATTCAAAGCAAAATCATTTAAATTCTTCAAAGAATGTACAAGAATCTTTCTGCCACATCATCCCCTTTAAAATGCACTCTTAACATCTCCACTTGTGAGCTACATTGCCAATCTCCCCTCTTCTATACATGCACAATCCCACACACTGCATGAGCAAGGAAAGGCTGCATTTATTTATATACTGGGAAAGTTATTCTTGAAACGCCTCTAAAGGTGTAATTTGTCAGCTCTCATTTATATAGCAGGCCAGGTGCAGCACTCAACACAAATAAAGATTCCCAATTTGGGATTGTTCTTCCTTTCAAGTAGCTTAGACTGGGCATACTTAATATGAGGTCTACATGTTAATATATGCTTCTCTGAAATAGAACATAACTGCAGCTCATCTTAACTTCCATAGGGAACCCTCCTCAATTAATTATTAATGCCAGCTGCCTTTGTTTTTCACTTCTGTGATAATCTGTGTTTCAGTCAGTATGTTCCCTGGGTAGGGTGAGTTATCTCTTTCAGCACCCTCTGCTGGCCAGACCGATGGGAAATAAATATTTTCATTAATATTTAACTTTTTTTTTCCTCATGGCCATTTCTGTTAAAACTCGTAGAATACATCATTCCTTTTTTATTTTGTTCTGCAATGCTATCCCCATTTTTATAAGGCACAAAGCAAAAATTGTAAGTAAAAGGTGATTTTCATGCAAGAACAGGGAAAGTGTTTCCAGGCCTAAAGGGACGTGTGAGACTATTTCAAAAATATTTCTGAAATGATAGTGATATTACTAACAAAGGAAGCAGTTGAGCTCTAAATCATACTATGCACAATATTACTTCCTGGTTTGTTGTTAGCTCAAAAATTCCTCAAAAACCAGAGGCACATTTTCATTTGGGAAAACTAAAAATATAAGTTTTGGTTCAGTAGAGGAGTAGCTAGATAAAATTCTATGGCCTATGTTATACAGTTGGTGAGACCACTAGATGATTTAATGGTCCCTTCTTGGCTAGAAGTCTATGAAACTATGAAAATAAATAACTGCTGTTAAAAATGGAAAACAAATGTTTTGAAAAATGTATCCCTGTTTCTCAAAGAATTTTAAAATTGGATTTTTCTAAAAAAACCTCTGTAGCTGCTCAGAAAACATGATGAATTTTTCATGAACATTTCATTGAAGTTCAATGGAGCTATGACAGTTTGCACCAGCTGCAGATCTGCCCCAAAGACTTTTTCCAGCTCCAAACTGAAAATACTTCACTGTGACCTACTTACCCAAACCCTACCAAAACAAAAACTCAATTCTAGTGAACAAACTTAATAAAGTAAAAACAGGTTGTGACACCCATGGAGTGGCTCAATAATCGTTTGTGAATTCTGTATATTGACCTGGTTACTGGGATACTTACTGTAGGCAATAGAGGGTTCCCGGGTTGGGCAGGGGGTGTGGGGGGGAGGAAGGGGTGGACAACGACGACCAAGAAAGACAGGAAACAATGTCTCACAATAAGCCATTCCTCAGTAAACACTTAGGGGTGTTAAGGGGTGTTAAGAGTCAATGCCTGAACTTTTAGATTTGAAGATTCTACCCTTTTGACAAGCAGACCAGCCCAGAAACTGACAAGGGCAAAGGAATTCTGCCTGGATTAGAAGAATTTCTCACTCTCTCTGAAGAGAGGAGGAAACTGCTTGGGGAAACCAGACTGAGACAGTGCACTCACTGGGGTGTCTGAAGAAGTTAAGCCCGCCTAGATTGTCATCAGGGGATGGTAAGATAAGCGTGCAGGTAGACTGTTTTACATTTTTTTCTCTAAATGTTTTGTTCCTACTATTAAAATAAAGAACACTTTGGTTTTAAGGCACTCTGATCACTGTACATCACTGGTTGCAGACTCCTGAAGGGAAGGACCACAGGTGCTGCATCCAGTCAGACCTGGGGACAATTGATCCACAGCATACTGTAGGCTAGAGTCTGGTCTAAGAGAGGGAGAGATGAGGAATTCTACTCTATGGTGTTTATTGTAAACGTTTAGAGCCACTCTTCAGGGTGGTCACAAAGGGCCATACAGCAAGGAGGTAAGGGTCCATGTAAACAGCATATAAAGACGGTCTGCAGTTCCCCACAACCATGGTGGGCTGGGTCTCTAATAATCTCTACACACTCCAGGGGAGAAAAGGCACAATGCCTTGTACCTGAGGTGGGTGCAGTCAGAAGTTATGTTCACACTACAAGCTAGATGTGTGGTTCCCCTTCTCTTGTACGCTAGCATGACCAATTAGCAAGAGTGAAAAAGTGAAAAATTGGGACACTTTTTTGGGAGGGTAGGAGGTGGGGCTATAGTTGACTATCTAAGACAAAACCCTTAATATCAGGATGTCTGGTCATCCTAGTGTACAGATACTCACACTAGCTATCGTCAAGCTAGCACAAGTATAAATATTAGTGTAGCTATAGCAGCATGGACAGCTGCAGAAGCATGGATTAGCTTTGCTGAGTATGTACCCACCAGTTTCAGGTGCGCTTGTGCGTGGCACAACTAAGCTGCTACAACCCAGCCTACCGTGGCTACACTACAATTTATACTTTTGCTGGCTCAATGAGAGCTAGCGCAAGTGTGACTATATGAGCAATCACACCCCCAGCTCTCAGAGTAAACATAGCCAGGGAGATCAGGAGGAGGGAAGAGATGCAGCTAGCCTTGCAACTGGGACACAGTTCAAAATTAATTTTGACTGATATACATGGGTTAAGGTTTTCAAAAGTTATTGTTTTGGGGTGTCTCAGTTGTGAGATACCCACATGGAGACATCTTAAAAAGACCTGGTTTTAGAAAGTGCTAAACATCCGCCCTCTGAAAATTAAGTTTTTCAAGCTGGGCACCCCAAAAACCAAAGCCACAATCATTACTTTTGAAAACCCATATCTTGGGTGTGATCTATTTTTATAAAAACTGTTGATTTGAGAAAGCTAATTTAACTTGGGCAGTATAACAGCTTAGAAATCTGACTGCACTACTGTCTAAAGTAGAGTGGGAGAATTTTCCAGGCCATTAATCCCAGAGTCACTCAGACTTTCTGAAACATGAAAGATGTAGGCACCAGAGACATGGTGTCCAATATATATTTATATATGGTATTTATTTGTCATTTCATATTTTCTTAGGTGGAATAAAAAAAATCCTACATTAGAATGTGATTTTATAACACCAATATTATGAACCGCCAGTTATACAAACCATTTTTCCTCACAAGGGGGGAAAAAATCACATAAAGTGATGTCTGTAAAGACCAGGTCACCAAACCTTTGCATTCCAATGCTTTTCATCTGCTGGAAATTACTTTGCATTGGTTAGATAGGCAAGAAGAAAGCAATGCATTGTATATACTGTAATTTTGAGATGTGTGATTTTATGAACTTTTTTATTTTATGAACACGGTCCCCAGTTAGTTCATAAAATAGAGGTTCTACTGTATTTCTTATTCCCCCGCCTTGCGTTTCTTTGTTTGTAAGTTTTGTGAAAGTTGGAGTTAATTTTTCATCTCTAAACCTGGATCAATGTTCTTCCTAGAA